TCGCCCCGTAAAAATGAACTTATTTGGTGGAATGACCCATATATATGTGGACACTATTTGAGATCCGAAACGTGGTTAAATATATCCTCCTAAAAGAGCTCTTACAACAGGTGGTCACCGAAAATACAACCAAATCACACTGTCGTAACTTTAAACAAAAGGTTGTTTCGCAATATCCCAATTATGGATTGAAAATTAATTCCAATAAATGTCGAAGCTACCTGTTACCACCCACGTGTCGAAAATCTTCAAATTTCCAGAAAAAGAAAACCGACGTCACTTCAAACACCAATAATACCAACATACCTTAGTGGCAAATAGCGCCCTTTATTACGAAATAAATTCTTGACAAAAAGAACTAAAATAACCAAACAAAGCCTCAAAAACCAAATAAATAGACTAATTAAACTCAAATAGAGGTCCTATCTACACCAAACTGATCATATACCCACAATTACCATCAGGGCGAAAATGCTAGACCGACATCTTGAATACAGGGCAGCCACCTACTCGCCCAGAGTGTCGCAGAAAAACTCCTGAATCCATGGAAAAAGGCCCGCCAAGAAACGCCTTCGACACTCAGCTGAAAGAAATCCAGTCGCCTTTCGATTCAAAAGCACAGTGGTTTAAATGCGGGTATAGAAGGACCCTTGCAATAAGTACTGAACTCGGACAAAACAAGTATTCCTATTTTAATGAAAAACCGCCAAATCTAAACGTTACAATATAATATTTATAGGTCTTGATTATTTATCGGGTGTAGAAAAAATAGCGTATGCAACTCTCATGTAATAGTTATTAAAACACTCGCATAAACCATACGAAACTCGCCTTTGGCTCGTTTCGTATCCCGGTTAATGCTCGTGTATTAATAACCATCATTACATGATCGTTGCATAATATACTATTATAAATCTTGCAAAAAGAATTAATATCTAATATTTACGCCAGCCGGGAACATTTGTGATACCAATTTATTAGAAGCCAGAGAAAGCTCTTCTAGTTCTTGTATTGCATAAACGTTCCAGTCCGCAGACGTATATTTAACTCCGCTTTATACTAATACGAATAGGCTCGGATTCGGATAAAACCTTCTACGGCATTCAACGCTGCACCGCTGTGCCGGTCGGAGTGGGGGGGTGTTAGATTATTTTCGTTACGGTCGTTACGGAAATTTCTTGATTCGATCGCACAGTGTTCCAAATGACAATATTAGGCGATCAAAATGTTTTGCATGCATAAATTTGCAGGAGATGCTGCTCTTTTAGTATACTTCATACATGATTTAAAGGAAAACTAATATTAAGATATACATTTCAATTTTTAAGTTTATATAGATACTGGCTGTATTTTTTAAACCGTTATAGTTAAGAGAAAGATAATTAATTTAAAAAATGTTTAACTTTATGGAAAATTTACCTTACACTTTTCATACTCACTATAGGTGCGACAATTTTTTTGAATTAATTACTTTTTTTTTAGTTTTACTTCATATACTTATAGTGTAACAACCGGAAAAGTTTTTATTGTCATTTTTCCCAGTAGGCTTTTTTTATTTTTACTATTATATTTATGATATTCATTAAAAAAGTTGTCACGTCAATTGACAGAGAGATTCTTTTAAAAGAGGTTGCAATTATTGGTCACATAATGTAACAAAATATGATTTTCTACGATTATTATTATTATTATTATTATTATTATTAAAATAGTTTGCTTTTTAGAGGAATGTAAAAACCGACTTACTTAATATTGCTATGTATTGTACTTTAATCTAATGTTTACAAATTATATTGATGCTAAGCATTTATTGAACAATTTTACAAAAATGAAAGTGTGATAAAAACATAGAAAGTTATAAAATTGCAAATTAGTTCCATTTAACAAGATATACAAAAATTAGGAAGTCAAGTATAGACAATACTTAATAAATATTACTAATCTATTATGTCTAAATCATCAGAAGAATCATCATCATCTGAAGATGTAGTGGATACGAAATTCTTTTTGATAGTAAAATCTGGATCTTTTAGTACTTTCAACATGCTAACAACCTCTTCGGGAAGCGTACTCAATTTTCTTTTTGGCAAAGGTCTTATACTGGAAATCAGCATGCCAGATGAAATTAATAGGGCATGTAGTAAATCTTCCATGTTTTGTTTTCTGCCAATTTTTCGAGAATTGTGTTGGCGGTAGTATCGACATTCTTTATGACGTGCTTCTAAAGCCTCTTCGCTAAGCTGGCCTATTGGAAGAATCAAAGAATATATGACATCTGCACCGTGGATCAGTATCTTGTGGACGCTTGATGGCATCTTAAACCAGGGATATAAATTCACGAAAAGTCGGGCAGAATCCAGAGCATACTGCTTAAATGCTTCAGGATTAAGATCGTATCCACAAGAGATGGCTTGTAAAACTACGGAAAATCTACGTGTTAGAGTCTCATCAATTCCTGTTATGTTTGCTGATAGGGCTGGTTCACTGAAAAAGCGCCTGGCAACGTTTCCATCATTTGTCGTCCCACTTCCTTGACGCACTACATCTACCAACATACCTATAGGTTGACGAAAAGAATTTGTTATTTCTCGTTTTCTTCTTTCTACGGCTTCTTTTTCAGTTGCTGTTATACGCCATTTTTTTTACAACTAATTTGTATGAAACATGCAATAAACACTCAAATATTCGAATATGAGCATGAAGGGTTGAGAGACCATATTTATAGGTTTCTATATTGCAATGTCTTTCTACAACTTTGTCAATGTCATTCATGTCATTTGGGGTAGCTTTACAAATATAACATGACTGAGACGAACGATTTTCAGTTAAGACATTTGCCACTTTTCCATCTATCATTATTTGAATCAAAACATGATTTACGGTTAAACATCGTCCACCGAAATTCAGATATGTTGGCATTAATTGGTTAATTTGATTTGTTATGTACTCACTCTCTTTTTCTATAGATTCCCTACTTTCCTTTATGAATTGGAGATGCAGTGGCATACAAAAACGCGTGGACGATGGCCTCGGATTTTGCCATATTATAGTTTCGGCGTTGTCTGTAACTTTTTTGAATTATAAGGGTACGATTGACGTTATAAGTAAATCTGTGTCTGTCGAATTTGGGTTTTCTGTAAACTTTTGTTTATATAATGCAGGGCTAGAGGATCCATCGAAGCTCCATTTGTATCTCATTTCCAAAGTTACTTGATCTTCTTCCGGTACTACGTGATCGATAACATCTTTCTGAGCAATACATAACCGATTAATACAGTGGCATTTTGCAAAGGAACCTGAGCAGAAGTTTCATTTATATTTATATTTTTAGGATAACAATTCTTTTTGGCAGCAAGTATTATATTATACGATGGGTAGATATTGCATTTTCTTTTTTTTGGCTTCTTTTCTTATCTGTTTATACTGAGCAGTAGTTAGTTTGGCATTCGTTATAAGCGCAAGTGCTTCTTCAATAGAGTATGGTCGAAGATCGGTTTTACTTTTACTCATCTTTTTAAAATGCTTTAGGGTGGTAGGACTAGAGGTTATTGCCTTTTTTATAACACTGGCTGCATTTCTATTACCGGTTTTGATTAGACTAGACTGTGCTGCAAATAATAATTTTTTGGGCGAATGGCTTGCAACTAATGCTTTTACATGTATTCTTTTCGTTGTATCGCTCGCCAAAGAAAAATTTTTAAGAGGTCTTCCTACTGTTTGAACAGAATTTTCCATAGTTGGCTTGCAGATATAATGCTGTAGCCAGTAGTTATATTGCTTTAAAAAGTTTTCCGACTTTCTTCCACTCGTTTTCCAACGGCGTAAAAAATTCACCGAAAATAAAGAAAAGTCCTCAATATCATTTTCGGGCACATTACGGACTTTATTAACAACAAATTCAACCATTTTTTTTCTGGTGTCGACTGTCGTTGCTCGAAAAATAAGTTTCTTGTCTAACAAAAATTGGTAAAGTTTCATTCGTTTAATACCCATCCTGATGTCTGTAAACAAAAAAAATATTGTTTGGCTTGCGCACTTCTGACTAATTTGAGTTTAATAACATTAAATAGATTAATGTTAAGAGCTTCGATTTTAAAATAATAAGCTTGAAACTACGTGATATATTTTTTTTACACTCCATCAAAACTTAGAAAAATTAAAAATTAATATTTTCGTTCACTTATTTTTATTAAAGCTTAGAATAGAAAAAATTCTGGATAAAAATAAGACTTATAAAGCATTTTTAATTACCAAAAGAACAATTAGACATGATCACATAAAATATCTAACAAATTATTATCACTATTTTGACACAGGAAGCCTAAATCTGCCTTTTAAATGACAACAATAAAGCACAAACTGAATTTATTGACAGTTGCGCGCAGTAACCGGTGCACCGAACGGCACACTTCGTTTAAAAAAATGATTTTTATAAATTGTTTTGTATTGCCTGGTTATGCAGTCATTATTTATGAGTAATTTGCTTATTATCTGATATTTTTATTTTTTCTATTTTGATCGACCAATATGCTTATCCGAAACACTGTGGATCGCCGCGCTTAAAGCCCGCGATAAAAGCTATGCAATAGCTTAAAAATCATTTAGGATATTTTATCTAGGGTTTCTGAGAGCTATGGGTTGGACTCAAAGTTTTTTTGGACTTAACCATTGAGATAGAATAAAGAGGAGATGCTATAACGATGCTCAATTATCCGCACCTTTGCATTACAATTTACGTCATATGTCAAACTCGACATAGTGAAGCTAGTCAGTTTTGTTGAAAATAATTGCCATTTGTGTTAAATAGATTTATTTAAATATTATAAAATCCTTTTCATTCCTTCAGTCTTCAAATATAAAATTATTGACTTCAAATAATTCACTCTACCACTCATGTGACCATTTTCATTACACACAGTTTTCCGTCACTCGAAGTGCGTCCATCTGTCATATCGCAAAATAGTGTTCATGTCGTCTCTACCTTATTCTATCTCGATGGACTATGGAGGGTAGAGGAAAGGAGAATAATCTCTGTATACAAAAAGTGTCCCTCAAAATGTATACAATTAAGATGGCGCTTCTGTGCCCAGGGGACGTCGACAGTCGATAATTCAGATCACACAATGACAGCAATGATGTATATAGTAATAAATATTGCTCAACCATAAAAAACTAAAAACTACACCGTGAAAAGTGACTGGTCGTAGAAGAGTAAGTGTTTTGTGATCGTAGATAAATTTTGACAATACACGACAATAGTCAAATTTTATTGAAAAATAATAATATAAACAATAAATAATTCTTATGAATGAGCAATCTATATGACTATATAGCATTGGATTTTGTCCCCTGGCTACACGAGCGCCATCTTAATTGTATACATTTTGGTGGCCACTTTTTAATATAAAGATCCATATAAGATTGTCCTCCTTTTTTTCTACCCTCCATACGATGGACTTAACTTAAGTAAAAACGAAAAAATAAAAATATGAGAAACGTTATTTTTGAAGTTTATTCCTAACTAGATTTTCAACAATTTTATGTTTTTGTACTTTTCCTGACACCGTGGTGGGGAAGGAATCCATTATTTCGACCACACTAGGAATACCAAAATTGAATATTTTGTCTCTGCAATACTGACGTATCTCTTCGACAGTAAGTTGAATACCGTCTCTAGTTTTAATACAAGCACATACTTCTTCACCTAATCGTTCGTGAGGAAGACCAACTACCTGAAAATAAAATAAGAATAAAATAGAGTTATTATTACTATTAAAAATAATTAAAGGCTGAGAACTAGGTTCTATATAGCCTAACAGTTTAAAATAACTTGTAAACAATAGTGAGTTAATATGGTTTAAAGATAATTGTTCATAAAAAAGTCTAATCTATTTTTAAACATGTTTATCCACGTGGAGTCTAATAACATCATTGGGCAAGCTGTTCCAAACTTCAAAGATTCTGTTTATTAAAAAAATATTGTCTGTATTTAGTCCTATAGTTTTTAATTTGAATTGGTGACCTCTTAGTCTGTTATCATGATTTAGAGAATATAAACAAAACAGGCTAGCATAATTAAATTTTAAGCGCTGTTGAAATGTCTATAAATGTGCCATTGTTAACCGGTTGGCGCAATACGGTCGATTTAATCTAAAAGTTATACCGTTGTACATTTTCAAGTAGATTTTGATTACGCACTAGCACTGGACACCACATTAGGCCACCATACTTCAATATAGATCGCACGTATCTTTTACATAATTTCACTTACATCTGAAATAATATTTTCACAGAGGTCTTTCTAAGGAAATATATAAGTGAATTGGCAGGTTTGCAGGTTAAATTATACTCTGTTTTTAAACTAAGAGGAGCGATTTGAATTTAAGTTGGCAATTCTGTAGCCTTCTGATTGGTCAGATTACAGTCAGTTTCACACATTACTTTTTAGCATGAACATAGCTAATAATTGATATTGTTGACAGTTCTGACATTTTATAATTTGATATCTCATCCATTACTTAGTTTTTTTACTTTATTTCGTAAATAATAGTTCTTCAGTAAGCAATTGTATTGAAAATCTACAATTATGGATCCTTCTACACTGAGTACTATTAAAGGTAGCAATTCCTGAAAAGCCTTACAAGAAAGGGAAGACACCTTATTATTTTACATGCTGATTCTGAAGGTTTTGTAGAAAATGCATTATTGGTGTTTGAAAGTAAAAAGACTGGAGATTACCATGAAGAGATGAATTCTGAAGTATTTTAGAAAAAAATAATTTTATTACTGATTTTTTAAAACTAAAAATTGATGAATTTCTAACCAAAATGATTAAAATGTAACTAAATATTCAAGCAAATTTTATTTATTAGAATAGAATAAAACTATTTACAAAATTGTTATAACATTTAAAACACCATCTACTACTTTAGGGATAATCTTAATTTGGCACAATGAGTTAACATTACTTTCACAAAAAATATTTTAAAAGTACTTAAAATACATAGGTATGTATGAATAGTTCACTTTAAAAATTATATGTTGACATGTAGTGTTATGAAAATGTTGGTTCCAGTTTTCAAAACAAATTCTGACTCATAGGCCTGTAAACTTTTGAATGCCTTTATTTGCCCTCTAGCGCATTAACCATGGGTTAACACTAAATAGGCCATAATATCCACATTACTCATAGAACAGATACCAGTTACTGTGTGATCCACTCGTCATTCACTGATTAACTTTTACTTTTTATACCTATAACAAATATATCCTTAAAAATGTAAACAGATCTTTATATTTTATACTAACCTGGCTACATCTGGATATTCCATTAACAATTTTCTTAAATATTTAATATCCATTTTAAAAAGATCATAGTTATTCCCTAAAGGTTGATTTCAAAAGCAAGAAAAAAGTATTTCTGACATCAATCAACAACCATATTGACTTTAATTTGACAGTGTCATTTCGTTTTAGACACACATTTCAGATCACAATGTGAAATTTGCGTCCGTTGTCTGGGACCAATTAAAAAATTACTTCTATGACATTTATTCGTTTCTTAACCGCTCATTGGCCGTTCACCCCCCTAAGGCCGATAAAAATCGTTATTTCATAAATTTTGAACACGACTATATTTCGAAACTCGCTCTTAGTAACAAATTTAGTTACTTTTCCCTGTGTAAATGCGTCTTTTCAATTCGCTCCTCCTAGTTTAAAAACAGAGTTATAGAAGTAATGGTTACACCTACATCCGAATGAGACGTAACACTATTCAGTGCATAGTGGCTAATAGCAGAGACAATCCAGCGAGACGTGTAACTCAATGTATTTTTTTTGTTCGGTAAAAGTTATTTGGGCGATTGTAACCACAACCAGTCTATGATGGCGCCACTAGTAAATAGCGGGAAAATTAAAAATGCTTTAGGGCGGGAAATTCAAACATGGATTCAGAAATAAAGTTTTTCTATACAAATTTACAGGAGAAACAAAAACTATTGTTTCACTGTATATTAAAAAAATATAAAAGCTTCCAATAACATCAAATTTTTTATCACATAAATAATCATTTTAATAAAGGAAGTTTTAATCAGTTTAATATAAACAGTGAACATAGTTTTTATTACTCTTGTAAATTTCGCTAAAAAAAAAACTTGAAAATTCTATTGATTATTAAATATTTAAACTTGGAAAAATAATACACCAAACTCTTTTTCTATAAATTATATTTTTGTAAGGTACAGAAAAACAAACTACAATTGCTTCCTTTAGAAAGTACCTCCTATCATTTTGTGACAAATTACAAAGAAAGTAACAGTTGTTATATATTCATAATATATTTAAAAACTAATGTAACAAATATTTTATAAAGTATAGTATCGATACCTTTTTGCCAGACTATCATAAGTGCCATTTGAACAAATGTCACTTATGTTAGTCTGGCAAAAAGGTATGGATATTTTTAAGGTGAAGGGGGGAGAAAAAGTCCTTTATATCTCACAAGGAAAGTCAATGTTTAATTATTCAACAAAACATTGAGTGCGACCGGTTTCGAAGTAACATCACTTCATCTTCAGGCTCGCCTAGTGGAAAGGAGAATATGTGGTGTAAGGCGAGCCTGAAGATGAAGTGATGTTACTTCGAAACCGGTCGCACTCAATGTTTTGTTGAATAATTAAACATTGACTTTCCTTGTGAGATATAAAGGACTTTTTCTCCCCCCTTCACCTTAAAATTACTTCAACTCACACATGGCTACCCCCCTTGTCAAAGGTATGGATATGTTATGACTGTTTATTTTAATAGAAACCATAGAAACGAAACACACATACACTCAACACAAATGTATAAGGCCCGAGTCAAGTAAGTTCCCATCCTGTAAACTGGATCGAAACCTGCTAACTCCTCTTATAGTAATCAAGATCAATATATGTATATGCCATGCCTTCTAAAAGGGAATGAAGGATGACATACTATCATCATTTAAACAGGACGTTGCTGAAGGCTTACCCCTGTTATTTCATTTGTTTGTGTATCTTGTGTGTGTGCATTCCTGTTGTGTCCCCAGGCATGTAAAAGTTTTCCTAGTCTCCTAATTTGGTTACTAGGTGGACCTTCTCCAACTAGTAGTCTAATCTATTCGATCTGTTCAGAAGCAGGAGGTACTTTTCAAACATAGCAAATAATATTATTAATAATAAACACTATTTAAAGATAAATACATTTTTGTAATTTTTTTGTCATTGCCCCTTACCTTTCTCTTACACCACCAGGGTATACCTATTTTCCATATTCCCTTAATTATAGATTACCTTACAATGTTCGAATGAATATAACATTTTACTGATGAAAAATCTAATTTCATATTTAACTCTTTTTCAATTTCATTTGAAACAATAATTGGTACCTATATTACAATTTATTATCAAAGAAAATTTCTAATAAAGTTATATATAGCAAATCCTACTTAAACTACTGGTTGTTCTGCAGGATAAATTAACTTTTCTTGAGATTGATCTCTCTATAAAATCCAAAACCGACCTGATGTCCCCAAATGTATTTTCCAATGCATCCTGATTTAAAATTCTGCCCTTTTGTGATTCAATTTTTTTTTCTTCCTTTAGAGTGGCTGTTAGAGGTAGGTGTATGTAAGAATTAGCTAATCTCTAATCATTTTAAAAGTCCTTTGCCAATACTACGTGTGCAGATTTTTTACTCAGCATACATTTTACTTTTCTAGTAGATAAGAACTTTGTGCTGCCATTAAAGCTGTCCAGACATTCATCTACCTACTTAATGAACACAAGTAGCTGTAACAATGGATCTCTGATCCAATTCACCTAAAATAATTATAGTCATTGTGTAATATATTATTAAACACACACATTATACAGTGGTTTTCTTAATAAATTGGAAATTACTTACCTCTAGAAAGAAATGTGTACAAAAACGCGAGTTTGGTTCCAGAAATTGCTTCATGCAAAAAATAATATGCAAAAATAAACATTCCCCCTCCCAAAGAAAATTAATTAAACAACAAAATCAGACTAAAAGAAATATACGGGGCCCTAATTAATTTAATTTTAATAAAATGCACATGTTCATAACAACATTCATAACATTGTCAGTTGTCAGTTTTAATACTTTTTAATCGATATTTCGACGTCAAAAAACCAGCAACACCAGCGCCCTCTGAAAATGGTGTTAGTTTTATTGGAGAGAGATAGACATATGTAAAGATCAATGTAAAAGAAAAAGAGGGTCATATATGTAATTTTAATGGACCACCGAACATATTTTCCTATTAAGTTACACGTCTCTGTTGTCTCTGCTAATAGCATCTTTGAATCTAGTGCACGGCTTGTACTGAGTGCATAAGAAAGGTGGGAGATATTTCATTACCAGTTACTTTTCAATTTGAAATGTAACTGGTATCGATATATCGCTTATCTTTTATGTGCACTCCACGCAGGCAGGGCAATGGAATCGAAGACGCTATAAGTGTGTATTGTAGGCGAGCATTGTTTTTTCTCATATACAAAACTTTACATTTTCTAATATTTAACGGCAGTACCCAGTTGTTGCACCATTTTTCAATAGAATTGACATCATTTTGTAGTAGGTTATATGCCTGCAGTGGATTTGCATACAGTTTGGTGTCGTCCGCATAAAAAGACTTACAGTTATAAATATGTAAGGCGAGATCACTGGCATATACTAAAAATAACAGGGG